CACGTTCCTCGATCTGCTGGCAATGCCCCTACTTATACAGCCCAAAATGCCGTTAGCCTTCTAAAGGACTTTATCCTTTCACAGCAACTGTAGGGTAAAAACCACACTACATTGTGTAACTGAGAATGCAAACTGCTGAGAAACAGGGCAAACAACTTAAAACTGGTGGTTATTCTTCCATAAGATATACCAAACCAGCAACAAAAGTAAACTTCAGTTTCACCACACTGGCTAACAAGACGTCATAAGGCAGTTTCCTTAGGCATTCCAGTTCTCATATAACCACCAAAACCACTGGATTTAGAGAGGAGTGGTTCTTTACAACAAGTCTAAAAAAATGAAAGGTTCTTCTTGTCCCAGAGGACCAACCACACACCCAGATCAATATGTACCTCAGATCTTACCCCAAAAGTCACACTGATGCCAATCCTTTAGTATCTAGAATCTAAAGGTTTATTTATAAAAAGAAAGGTGAGTTAAATTGCTCAAAGGAATCAAATACATATAGTAATTGCAAAGTTCTTGGTTCAGGCTTGTAGCAGTGATGTAGGGTTACCATATTTCAACAATCAAAAAAACGGGATGGGGGGAGCCCTGTCCTAGACCCACCCCCATCCACTCCCTCCTACTTCTCATCCCCCTCAGAACCTCCAACCCCCCCACTCCTTGTCCCCTAACTGCCTGCTCCTGAGACCCCCCCTACCCTAACTGCCTCCCTAGAACCCTGCCCATCCCCTGACTGCCCCAACCCTTATCCACCCCACCCCCCAGATAGACCCACAGGACTTCCACACCCCATCCAACCACTCCCTGCCCCCTGACAGGACCCCCAGAACTCCTGACCCATCCAATCCGCTTCCCTTCCCTTCCCCTGTCCCTTGACTGCCCCCTCCTGCCCCTTCTCTAACCCCCTGACCATGCAGCTCACTGTCGCACTCCCTCAGCTTGTCCTTTTATCAGGGTCAGCTGGACCCTAATTGGGTGCAACCACACCTCTGGCTGTTTACCCAACGAGCCTCCCTTGATTGCTTTTAACCCCTTCTTAACCAGAGCGGGGTGACTGCCCCACTACAAGAAGCCATTACCTATAGTTCAAACAGCACCTTGCAAGACAGTTCATTCAGTGTAGATAGGCATCTCCCATGGTCTACTGTCCGTTAAGTCTTTTTTTTTTTTTTATGAGCCATTTAATTTGAATAGTCCCTCCAAGATGTGCTGGCTAACTACCTTCTGGGTGTTAGCTCAGCAGCAAGCATTTGAAATCCAGGTATAGAGCCAATATTTATAACTTCAAATACAAGAATGATACATGCATATAGATAGCATAATCAAAACCAGCAAATTATAACCTTTTCATAAACATCTTACATGCCACATTTTGTATGAGATTTGTTGCAGATATATAAGAGAGGTTGCAACAATGATTTTTTGGTCATATATTAATCAGATAACGTCACACATTGTCCTTCGAGGACCCTGCCCAGCAGTGCATAGGAGACGCCCAGGTGATTTTCCTTGCGCTTGTGCAAGCTGAACTGCACCTACTATCATGTTGCTCATTCCCTCCATGGGTTCACATCCACCCGGAGATGCTGTCAAGTCTCTCTAGTTCTAACTGAAACAATCTTGTGTCACTGGCAAATGTCACCAACCTGCTGCCCAATTCTCTCTCCAAATCCATAATGCACACAGCTCCCAGGGCTGGCCCCAGGACAGCTCAGTAATAGGCTCCCTGCGCCCTGAGGAGCAGCCATTCCCAATAGCTCTTTGTTCCCAGTCGTGTAGCTGGTTTTCAATCCACAGTTGGACTCTGTTCGTAACCCTGTGGTTTTAAGTGTCTGTCACGTTTCATTAGGTGTCTGATCCAAAGGTGTTCGGAAATCCCAGGAAATGGTGTGCCCCAGCTCACCCTGGATGGCAGAGCTCTTATGCGATAGACACAGGCTGATTTCCTGGGCCCTGTCCCTGCCTACAGCAGCATCCCCATAGTCTCCCAGGGCAGGCCCGCCATTACGCACAGTGGCTGATTTGCTGCCCTCTGCACCTGCCCACACTGTTCCCCTGCACTCTGTGGGCAGAGCTGCCACAACACACCTGGCACTACCTGACGAAGGGCAGAGTTAAATGAGAGAGATCAGCACTGGGGGAAACGAAAGGCCCGTGGAGAACAAAATAAACCTCACCTGTAATGATGTTGACACCTGTGTCTTGTGAGAACTCCCTCTGTAGCCGATACCTGCCTGCAATGACTCAGTTTTGAACAGGGCAGCACCCACCTCTTGTGGGTGCTCCCTTCCTGGTTGGGTGTGAGCCTGGTTTTCTTTCAGTTCTTACAACAGGGTTGCACCTGTCTCTCACGAGCATGCCCCCAGCCAACGGTTCTTTTGGCGGTTCTTCAGTGCCTCAACCCTCTGGCCAAATCATACACACCGTCCCCCATTCCGGGATATACAGTCTCTAGGTCTTGCTCGTGGCCCTGATATGGGGCTGTAGCACCAAGGCTTCCCCCGGAGGCACTGCCTTCTTTAACAGCCCAAAAGGGGCCCATCTCGGTTCCCTCGGATGGTGTCCTTTCAGCAGCCCTCCCTGGGTTCAATCTTCAACCAGACCAGCAGGGCCCATCATGGTACCCTCACCTGCTCTGGCTAGGTTCTCGGCTCAGCCTGCCTGCACCGAACTGCCCATGGTCCTGCTGCTCTTCCAGCAAGCCATGCACCCACTTCTCCCTCTTCAAGCTCCAGGCAGCAACTGACTGCTCTGCCCTTGCTGCTTCATTTTATATGGCCCTTCTGCCCCCCTGATTGGTCACTCCAGCAGCCCCTCTGATTAGCTGCTCCCCTGCAGCCACTCTAGACTGCCTGGAGGACTTCTCCTCTGCTCTTTTTTGGGGAGTGGTGAGGCAGGGCCATGAGGCCTCCAGCAGGGGGCCTCCACACCTACTCCCCCTCATCAAACCGCCAGTCCCCAGGAGGAATGTTGCCCCCAGGAGGGGTTAAAGTGCTACCACACACTGTGGTATCTCCACTATGGGGCTTCTGGCTTCCTACTGACCTCAGGGAATCACCCTCTGTGTGCCAGGAGTGCTATCTTCCCTTGTCTCTTTTCAGAAAGGACCGCTCAGGATTCCGCTGTCGAGCAGCAGGCTGGGCTTTGGCAAGCAGAGCCCTTCCGAGAAGACAGACATGGTCAGCTTCATCCATGTGCTGGATGGGTGAGTGGTCGGTGCACTGCTCAGTGGTGATACTCTCCGAGACGTTACTTGGTGATGGTGGCATCTCAGTTCCTGTGGGTGGCTGATCCCATCAGAGAGGGGTGGCAAATGTAACGCGTGTGAATAATAAACCTTGGCACATCCTCCACATGTCCATCCGGAAATGTCAATGGATGGACTTGCAGCCCCTGAATTCCCTGGTTCCCTGGAAACACCAGTCCCAAACTCTGAGCCCTTCCTCCCTCATCTCTCCTTCTGGAAATGCCCTTGATTTCCCAGTCTGGAAATGGAGGTGGATAAGCACCCCCAGCACACTGATACACACACGCCCCCTCGCGCACACGCCCTGTCTTCCTGTCACCGGGAAGTGAGGCCCTCACCACCCTTGGGGCTGATTCTGGCTCTGGCAGCATACAAGAGCCAGTAGGAGCCGCCATAGGCCAGAGGATAATTCCTCCAGTGCAAGAGAAGTGTGGGGCCAATGTAAACATTGCAGTGGAGACGTACCTTAAAGTGTCTTAAGGTTGGTGCCCAGCCATCACTGGTCACTTTTGGAAAACTCAGGCCATTGTTTGTATTTGTTTGAACCCCCATCTCTCCTTGCCTGCCCCCTCCCTTTCGCTAGCTTCTACCTCAGTGGCTGTAAGCTCCTTGGGGCAGGGGCCATGTCTTTTTACAATCTCTGCCAAGTGCCAGGCAAAGGTCTGGTGCTATATAATGTGGGTGGTGGTGATCACAATCTCTGTAGGGTGATGTGCTGCTTGGGCCCCCTAGGCTCCAGAAGCACAGAAACTGCCAGACTGGGTCCAGCCAATGTCCATCTAATCCAGTATCCTGCCAGGAACAGATGCCGGTGCCAGCTGCTTCAGAGGAAGGAGCAAGAAACTCTGCTAAAGGGAATTATGGGATAATCTTCCCTCAGGGAAAGATTCCTTCTAACCCGCAAGAGACCTCTCTCCTAGGGGACCCTCAGCTCCACTCCCTGTCTGTATGTGATGTTCCCTGCAGGGTGACATCTCTGATTCCTCTTGTTTCCCTCTTGCAGACCAATGAAAGTTAGTTCAGCAGAGCTCCCTGCAGCCGTGGACGATAGGAGGATGTGCTTCTTTGGTGCACTGGACCCAGAGAACCCGTATCAGACTCTTGAAATGACAACTCCAGCTCCATATCCTGCAGCCCTGGCTGGCTGCCATTCAAGTCAGGGCACCAGTCAGTCCCTGTCACCAGCCACGCTCCCCTGGAGGAGCAGTGCTAAGGCCACTGCTTCTCAGGCACCCATGTCCTGCTTTGACTTTAATGGTCCATACTTGCACTTCCCCCATGGGTGCTCCCTGCTTGACATTCATCAGGACTGGGAAACTGCCCCACCCCAGGGAACCCCTTCCCAGACCCTTCTGGTTGGGCAGGAGAGAGGAGCAGCTCAACTCCACCCCGTCTCACTTCCTGCTCAGGAAGAAATGAAGCAGCCCCTTGCTGGAAGGCAAGAAGAGCCACAAGGCCAGCCAGCAGGTGGGGAAGTGGCGCAAGGGGACACCGAAGATCAAAAGTCACAGATGGCTGCCATCTTAAACAACTCCTGTCAGAAATGGCCAGTGGGATACGTCACCACGGAAGATCTGTCATTGATGTCAGCAAGAGATTCTGCCCATCTGTCCCCTGCACTGGCCCCGCCGGAGGGAATGCTCACTGCTGCTGCCATGTTGTCATCCAACCCATGACGGCCCAGGCCACGCAGGGCACCTCCAGCCCTGCATTGAGCCCTGAGAGAACTCATGTCGCACTCCCAGTTCCAGGTCCAGCATCAGTCACTCCCTCTGGAGCGCACCAGCATATTTTTGGGAGTCACATAATGTTCCTCCAGGCCCCCTATTACACTTCACAACCCATCAGTGTTTCCTGAACCAGTGTTTCCTTTCTGTCAGAGGGGGCTGATACTTCTAAAGCAGAGCCTGTGCACGAGAGTAACGTGGTCATGTTCAACCCCGATGACACTAGGCCAGTTTTTCTACACGAGATGGAGGAATACTGCTTCTTTCCTAGCCTCAAACCCACACACAGGCCATTCAGCTCATCAGAACTCTGAAGTGTGACGCTTACCTTGCATTGCCACTTTGGGAAGGACCGAAACCAGCTGTCAGGGCCAGGGAACTCTGCTAACTCTGGGAGAGGACTGGTGAAGACAAGAGAGCAGGTGATTGGATGAAAATTCCACCATTCAAAGCATGTCACCTCTATTGTTTTCCCCCCTGTTCTCCACCCCTCTTACATTGGGACACAAAAATAGCAATTCTTCTTTCCAGCCCTCTCCACTCCCAAAGGGGGTGGAAGACATCAATCAGCACCATGTCCTTCTCAGCTGTATTAGTATATTTGGATACAGAAACCAGGAAATATATCCCCATTGGAGAGAGCTGCTCATTACACACACTCTAATCCCCTTGCCATTACCATGTTAGTCTTGCTATGGTTCTGGTGCAGAACATAATGTTGAGTTCAATGCAAACTTCACGGCATGAATGATCAAACTGCATGTCACCGATAAGACTCTGTCACAAGCACCTGGAATGAAATGCCTCACATTCTTTAAACAGATCTAGGTTATTTAGAGAGATAATACTCATCCAGAAGAATTGGTGTTGGAAGGATGTAGATACCAAGGAGGGATTGGAATTGTTGAGTATGGGACAAAGTGGGTCAGAGTAAGGGATGAAACAGAAACAGGGAAATTGGGCTGGGGATCAGGAAACCTTTCCTAATTGTGACTTCTACTATCCTGTGGAATAATGTCCTTAGGGAAGCAGTGGAAGACCAATCATAGGAGACATAAAACTAGATTGGAGAAAACAATGGAGAATATACATTATTGCAGGGAAAGCTGTGGGGAAGAGGCTCTTAAGATGGACAAGCTACGATTTAATTGGTCTGTTCTATCTCTAATTCAGAGCAATCTGGATTGCTTGTTAAACTGGGAGCTAACAAACAATATGTGCTTTAATACAGTTAAATGTAAATATATACATCTGGGAACAAAGACTGTAGCCATACTTACAGGATGGGGGACTCTCTCCTGGGAAGCAGTGACTCTGAAAAAGATTTGTCATGGAGGGTCATGGTGCTTAATCAGCTTAACAAGAGCTCCTAGTGTGATGCAGGGCCCAGAAGGGCTAATTCAAATCTTGGATGCATAAACAGGGACAGGGGAATCTTGGGTAGAAGTAGAAAGGTTATTTTACCTCTGTATTTGGCACGGCTATGACCACTGCTGGAATACTGTATCCAGTTCTGGTGACCACAATTCGAGGATGTTGATAAATTGGAGAGGGTTCAGAGAAGAGCCATGAGAATGATTAAAGGACTAGAAAATATGTATGATAGTGACAGACTTAAGGAGCTCAAGCTTTTTTGCTTAACAAAGAGAAGGTTAAGGGGTGACTTGTTCACAATCTATAAGTACCTACATGGGGAACAGATATTTAATAATGGGCTCCCCAATCTAACAGAGAAAGGGATAATACAATCCAATGGCAGAAAGTTGAAGCTAGACAGGATTGGATGTTTTTTTCAAAAAAATCTATTCTAGGAACTATTTGGGGGAAGTTCTCTGGCCTGTGCCAGGCCTGCATTGTGCTGTGCAATTCTTCTTTTGGATATTTTAAGTTCTGATAAACTCATTGGTTTGAAACATGTGAAAAGTGAATTCATTGCTCTTGAAAGGAAGGGGCCGACAGCACTGCCTCAGGCTGACCAGAGCGGAGATAGATGCCATCCAAGCGTTCCCAGCCCAACTCATTGCTGACTTGCTAATCCAGTCCCAGGCCTTGTATGAAAAGAGAAGGCCACATGTGCCCGTCTGTGCTGTGGTTTTGTTATGTGTCTATGTAGGCATTAGAATGAGACCATAAAACCCTCATGTATTAACTCAGCCCCTGCACCCAGATGCCCGGATGTGTATCAACTCGCTGTGACCCCGACCTGCCCTGTTTTCTGTGTCCCTGATAACCTCTGTGAGCCTGATCCCAGAGCCCAATGAGGTCAATGGGACTCCATGTATTTTGCATGAGGCCCAATTAGTGATGCAAACAGATCTCTTCAGGAGCCCGGAACCATGACATCTTGGCACAGCAACAAACCAGTGCCAGGCCAATGGGCCCAAATCTTCCATTCTTTGAAACTCTTCAAGATCCCTAGCACTAACTTTGGGCGGTTCTGCCCCCCCCGCCACCGCCCCCCCCCTTCGCAGCCTTGCTCCTCAGAGCTGTTCATATTGTCATTGTTATTTGTATTGTAGTAGCCCTAAAGAGAACCCCATTGGCCTCAGTGCTGTACATACGCATACGGTGCCTTGCGACTTGGCTGGAGGTGGCGCGCTGCATGCTGAGACCTGTGCACTCTGCACTGAAGCAGGAGGAAGCCCAATAGCAGATCTCTGTAAACTGCACTTTGGCCTCCCTTTTTAGTCAGTGAGCAATTCTTTCCCCCGCACCCCATGTACCTTAGAACAGCAGAACCCGTAATGGTTAATTATTGAGGATGGGAGATAATCCTCCCATAGTTACCACTGGTTATATTTTAACTTCTTCTACTTGCAAACCCCTGGCCCCGTGTTTGATTTTTAATATTCCAAGTTTTAAAACTATAGTGAAGTTCTAATTCCTCCTATAGCCGTGTGTCCAGCTTTCTTTTTGTGGTATTGTCCATCACAACAAGCCAGCTGATAGATGGCTCAGTGGCTGGCGGACACACTGGACTAGCAACAGTGGGAAGGGGTGTTGGGTTCTAGGCACTACGACAATACAAATCATACATAACAGGATGGGCCGAGACATTATCAAGTCTTGCTCGGTGGAGGTGCACACTCAATGATGCTGGCAACACTTGGACACAATATTTATGTGCATTGCAGATGTCTGCACGGGTGGTGGCAATGCCTTTTCTCTCCTGTGTAGATGAATGTCTAGGGTGGCTGGACAGTGGTGCCCCAAATCCCAAGGATGTCACACAAGAGGACTGAGGCAGGGAGTGTGTCCTACAGTCCCACAGCTAGAAGCAATGACTAGACTCTGCCCAGGCCCACTTGGCTTGGAAACACATGGGACCCAGTCATTGGGTCCATTCACAACAGACTAGGGACCATACAGAGTGGTACTGGGCCAGGTTGTGACAACTGCCAACTCTCCAGGGTAATAGGGACGAGTATGTCAGGCCCAGAACACTGGGATGGCTGGACAGACCCTAACACAGCCAGGAGCAGGAGTAACTCAGGAAATATGCCTGGGAGTGAATCTCTGCATCCAATAGTGGCTGCACCTCCATCTGCCTGTGCTGTACCTCATTAATGCCATGAGGTCCTTGAACAATGGGGTGCTGCTCAGGTCCTCTTCCACTGATATGTCCCTAGAAGAGGGAAAAAACATTGTCATCTCACATGATCAGCGCAGATCCCTGACTGGGCTGCAGGAGTCTGGGCATCTCTCCAGCAGTCACATGAAAGCATCATCTCATTACCTGATGATGCTGACAGTGTCATCCTGGTATTAGCAGCACATGATGTGTTTAAGCTACAGCAGAGTCTGAAGGGTCAGCATGAGCCCAGGGGGTAAGTCGCTAGACATGGATGGGAGGGGGGAATCTAAGCTCTCAGGAAGGGATAACAGAGCCTGCACCCCAAAGGGAGCACCTATGGACCTGTGTCAGGGTGTGCAAACCCCACCCTAGGCAAGAAGGTGTTAAGAGCAGTTTGGTGCTTGGGTAGCCCCACCCCACCACACTTGTTAGGCATGCCATTCTTAGAGGAGGAGTTTTAAAAAGGGAGATGCCCAGTTCAGAAGGTGCTGTCCTTTGAGGTACATAGACCTCTCCCCACTAGTTCCCAGAAATGAGCATCGTGATGGATGAAGCTAGTAGAGAGTTCCTGCAAACAATGCACAATAGCCCTGAGGATGCTGAGCCAGGCTCATCAGGTAGCTCCTAAAAGGAGGGAGGCCAGGGACCTACTTGGACTATTTTTGTGTTGTGCTTTCCTTTGTTACCTTTCCTCGGAAGCCTGAGGACAGCTGGGGAGGAAGGGCTAGAGGCTGGCTGCAGTAGCAAGATGTCCAGGAAAGAAGCAGGTGGTCTGAAGAAGCAGACTTTAGCCACCTGCTACAGGGACCCTGGAAGGAGGTTGGGTTCCCCTTTGGGCCCCCAAGGAAAGGCCTGATGAAGGCTCTGGATAAGAGTCACAAGCCCTAGTAGGCCTAGAGTTCAGCCAGAGACCTGGTACAAGGCTGCCATACTGTTTTGGTCTGGACTCAGTCCCACCCCTTCGGGGTAAGTCAGAGTGTGACCTGGCTGGAGGAGGCTGAGTTGCAAGACAGGGGACCACCAGCAGCAAGCCTGACTGGCTGGTTGGCAGGGCAACAAAAGGAGGGAAAACCCTGTGCCCAGCCACAATGGGGCACACTGGTGGATGAGTCACTGTGACAAGGCCCCAGGACAGAGACAGCGTCTGGACTCCATTCAGTCTCAGGGAGGCTTAACAGGCAGAGATTCAAAGGCTTAGTTTCCCCTCACACCAATCTGGAGGGCAGTTAAGAGAAGGTGCTTGACTGGATCTGTGACGATGATCACATAAGGAGATGAGTTCAATGGAAGTGACCTCATGCCAGCCCTGTAACAGGAGTGCTGGATGGGGTAGTCAGCTGCAGAAGGACTGGGGCAGTGTCTCGTATACACAAATCAGACACCTCCCCTCAGAGGCTGTTCTCTTTCACAGAGCAGAGATACCATATCAGCAATCAGCTTGCATGCACCCCCAGCCTGTTCTCACAAGCTTGTGGTATTGCCCAAGTCCCCTTTTAGATAGGGTGGTGTGAGTGGATGAAGTACAGTACGTACCAAGCCACGTAAACAAAAGCAATCTAATCACATCTAAACAGGAGTTTCCTTCTGCTTTCTGTGGCCCTTGAGCGTGCTACTCACTTCTACAGAATCGAGATGGTATGACAGGAAAGGAGTAGAAGTGAAACCCAAATTTGGAGATGGAGGCTTAGTCCCTAGTAGGCTAATGGCTTATGCACCCCGACAGCTTTGTGATCCAAATTCAGTCTCACCTCTAGTCTTTGATGATCCTGTTGCATAGATAGATCAAGTTTCCTTTCTTGAAGTCCTTCTTGCTTCCACACAGAAAAGAGTGTACTTACCTGTACATCGCATTCTTGCAGTATATTGCCCATGCAGATCCCTGGTACTGAGATGCACACTGAGAGCTGGAACCATCAGGAAAGCATAGATATGTGTCTTTAGGCAGGGAAGAAAAACTATCCACTTATTCTTACATCCCTGAGACAGCCTTACAAGAAGATACTACAGCTAAACAGGTGATTGTGCATGTCAACACCATTTTTGCTCGACATGGATGTATCTGACAGTATTATAAGGCTAAGTGCAAAGTTTAGTGGACATGAGTTTAAGTAGTTTGCAATAAAGTGGGGGGATTTGGCAGCTGACTGCCTCCTTATTATCCCCAATCCAAGGGGCCGGTGGCAAAGTGAGTCAAAATAATCAAGTGCCTATAGAAAAAGGCTGCAGAGCCAGACTCTGATCCTACTTAGAACTGTTTAATCACAGAATGGCACCACTGAAGCATAGGCTTTCACCAGCTGCTAGTTTGTTAAACAGGAAACTAAAACCAAGAACCCCTCCATTGCTAGAAATTGATGTCGAAATCACTGGGGACTGGAGAAGCATAGAGATAAATAAGGCAAAATGAAAAAATCAGTATAATTTGGGGGCCTGGGAGCTGCAATCACTTTGTGAAAATGGCACTGTGCTTATCTGTGATAGAAGACAATGGCCGCAGACAGCAGTGAC